TTGACTGGTGTGGGTTTTTTTAAAGCCGTTTACCAGGAGGGGAATTCCATTCTGAAACTTCCTGTATTAATGGTGTATGATGTTCCCTGCTGATTTACTTGCACAATAATAGCAGGCCTCCGTGTACAGCTCTCAACCCCATATGCAAATCTCAGTGGAAATTAGCTTCGACTTCCTTCTAAGGGAATTTCTCTGTAGTTGCCAAATCAGATCAGCCCATTTGGTCACTTTCATTACGGACTCTGACTTGTTAGCTGGGACTCCAGAAACCTGAATGCCTGTTTTTCATTTAATCTTTCAGGAACTGTGGTGGTAAATGTCTGGGTATCTTTCAACTCCTATTGGTTTTGTAAAAACTCCTTTTTGGGTATGTTTCTTCTGGCCGTTGATGTAAGGTAATTGAACTTTGGAAGCTTACTATTTTAAAACATTCTCAATGAAGTTTTAAAGATAGCTTCCAGGCAGCAGTGCTGTCCCTAGGGTACAGTAAATGTCTGCATTTGTTTTGAATAATGGGGGGGCAGGGGAGGGAAAACAAAACAAACCTAGGTAGATGTTCAATTCCCCCTGTTTATCTTCATATCCAAATAAACCTTGCAACAGTCTCAAATTGGTCTGTGGCTTAAATCTTACACATGCAGTAAAACTAATTTTTTTTTTTTTTTTAATTTCCTGTTTGCAGTGTAGTTGTAGCCATGTTGGTCCAAGGATATTAGAGAGACAACGTGGGTGAGGCAATATCTTTTATTGGATCAGCTTCTGTTGGTGAACAAGACAAGCTTTGAGCTTACATAGAGCTCTTCTTCAGTGGGAAAAGTACTCAAAGGGTAGGTCTACACTGCAATGTAAGCCTAGGGTTAAAAGAACTCGAGTTAGCAGACCCTGGGTTTGGTAATCTACACTTTGAGAATCTACGCTCATATGTAACTCCAGGTTAGGAATTACTGAACCCTGGGTCCTAACCTGGGGGTCCGGCATCTACGCTGCGTTACATGGGTCTGAGTCCATATCCTGCACACTCCCAAAATGTGGACACTCTAACCCTTTGTTCGTGGTGCAATGTGGGAAAACTTGACTCTGAAGAGGGCAAATAAAGTTGGCCTGTGGGATTGAGGGATACATGTAGCATACTCCCAGAACATGAGCCCAGTGGGGCTGCATCTGTAATAGGGCTTGAACCCTGGGTCCTGGCTTAACTCAGACTCACCCTCCAACCCCTTGGGATCCTCGATCTGAGCCCTGGATTAACACGATTTGTATGTAGACAGAAGGGGGGTTAGGCTCCAGCCTGTGCTTGCTTTGCAGTGTAGACGTATAGGATATGTTGCAGCTAAATACAAGGTGGAACAGATTGTTTAGAATAAGGAGTTAACTGCCCATTTGAATGGTCTCTTACAATGTTAACACTTCTGCAGTCATAGGACCCTCCCCCAACACACCTTTCATGATCCGTGGGTCCCACAGGTGCCTATCACAACATGTGGTGTACCTCATCCAATGCACCATGTGGCCCAATAACTATGTGGGTGAAACCACACAATCACTATGCTCTCGAATGAACTCTCTCAGAAAAATAAGACAAACACCCAATCACCCATGGATGGAGCATTCTTCACAAAACGATGACTTCATATCTGACCTCTCAGCCCTCGTCCTCGAAGGAAACCTGCACAACACCTTCAAAAGACAAGCCTGGGAGTTTAAAGTCATAACGCTGTTAGACACTAAAAATCATGGACTCAGTAAAGATTCTGGATTTATGGCTCATTATAACAATCGATAACCCGCTGACCCTTCCTTGTCCTACTACTGTTAATTGCTCACTTCACCTTGAATGGTCTCTTAAATATGTTAGCCCCTTATGCTAAACGATTTGTACCATCTTGTATTTAGCTGGGATGCTCTGGGTATCTTTCCCAGACCTGAAGGAGAGCTCTGTGTAGCTCGAAAGCTTGTGTCTCTCACTAACAGAAGTTGCTCCCCTAGCTTGGCTCTCTTTTTATTTCCTACAGAACGAAGGACCCATTTTGATTAAACTAGAGAATTCCATATAACAATAATATAGAAATAACATTTCAAATCTGTGTCCATGTAGAACCAATTCAAATGATGATGGTTCTATAATCTGTAAAATACCCTGGAGCTGGGAGCTGAAGGAGAAAGTAGTAATTCTTGGTCCCGCAGCAGTGAAAGTTCTGCCCGGTCAGGTATTCATTTGACTCCCATCACTGGAGTATCTGAGCATGTCTTCAGTTGTATTACAATATATTCTCTGTTTCATGAGCTTTAAAAAATTATTTCTAGGCTGGAGTTTGGCTCAGTGAGGAAGTGAACTTTGGATGGTGTTGGGTTTCTTTAAACCCTTCTACAATAGAACCTCAGAGTTACGAACACCTCAGAAATAGAGGTTGTTCATAACGCTGAACAAAACGTTAGGGTTGTTCTTTCAAAAGTTTACAACTGAACATTGACTTAATACAGCTTTGAAACTTTACTATGCAGAAGAAAAATGCTTCTTTCCCATTATTTTTTTGAGTTTATATTTAACACAGTACTGTGCTGTATTTGCTTTTTTGTCTCTGCTGCTGCCTGATTGTGTAATTCCGGTTCCAAATGAGGTGTGTGGTTAACTGGTCAGTTTGTAACTCTGGTGTTCTACTGTATTCTAAAAGGTAAAGTAGAAGTTGTGTTTTGTTGCTGTAGAGGAGGGTGGGAAGAAAACATGCCTAAGTTATTTCATTTAGAAAGTGGCTGCTCCATGTGTTGGGGTTTTTCATGCAAATTCATAGGGACTTAAAAAAAAAAAAAATCACTCTTACTGCATCAAAGCGACTAATCTGGCAAAAACCACAAAATACCATGTTTAGGCTTGTAATAGGAGCCCTATTGAGCAACATGCCATTTTAAAAAATCTATTATCGGGGAAAGAACATAGCTTTTTTGTGAGTAAAGTGGAAAAAGGCACCTAAGAATTTAGATAACAAGCCCTCTGCTTTCACTTCATAAGACCCTAACAAGAGGATCCAGAGGCCAAAACCCTAGTGCCTTTGGTCTTTGTCACCCTACATATTGCTCACGTTGATGTAAAGGTTTCTGGCATTTAACTGTTTTGCAGAGAAACAAATAGTCTCTTTGAATGTAGGCACTTCTGACGACGTTCCCCAAAGAACTCAAGAGCAGGGTTCAGGAATATAGCATGCGATGGCTAATACAAGGACAGTTGTGTTCCGAGCTTTTTCCACAGAGCATTTACTTCTGTATGTTTTATGGGGGATGTTTTTACACCCACATGCACCAAAAAAGATGCCCCCTCTCATGTCTGTGCTTCAGCTTTTTCCAGTTATCTCTGACTTCATTTAATTATACTGTACCTGCTTTATGCCTCAACACTGCAAACGCTGACTGACTATGTAGAGCTGCCTACTGTGAGGAGACAATGAGATTACTCATTACTCTGGTTGGCCAAGAGTTTGCCAGATCAGTCTCTAAGACTGCAGAATGACTTAATATGGTATGGGCCTTGGCTCACTACAAAAGCAGTTTTCCCCCTCTTGGTATTGACAGCTCCTCATCAATTATTGGGAGTGGACCACATACACCCTGATTGAATTGGCCCTGTCAAAACTGGTTCTCCACTTGTAAGCTAACGCCCTTCTCTTCATGTGTCAGTATATTTATGCCTGCATCTCTAATTTTCACTCCATGCATCTGAAGAAGTGGTTTTTTTTACCCACAAAAGCTTATGCCCAAATAAATGTTAGTCTTTAAGGTGCCACCGGACTCCTCGTTGTTCTTGTGATCTGTGTACCTTTGTATTGTCATAAGCCATTCTGAACCTCTGGTGGTGGTATAAATAAGCAGATTTTTCCTGACTAGGCGCCCATTGCTTTTCCCACATAAGAACTTTCACCTTTAAAAATTGTGATAAGACTTGTAGGCAATACTCACAGATAATACTAATCCTGTTTGTGTTATCTTACATTTATATAGCATCTTTTGTTAGGAAGGCTCCCCAAGCAGTTTTGAATCAGGAATATCTTCAGCCGTGAAATGCAGCTGCCTCTGACGTGAACCGTGACATTTTTTTATTGGCACATGTTAACATTACACTACGGTTTAGGACAGGAAACAAATCTTGTTCTCTGAAACTGCAAAGGAACTTAAGTAGGCACCATGTAATTACCTAAATTAGAATTTGGCAAGGATACAAGAGTTACAACCCTGGTTCTTGTGAAAAGTGATATGACATGAATGCTCTTCAGAGAACACCAACATGAGCAGTTGCCTTTCATGTGTTTTCTTTGGGTATCTGAGCCCCAGATCACGGACTGTATTTATGATAATGGATCACAAGATGACCTGATTGAAGCTGGCCAGTTAGAATACAGGAGTCTGTGTAACAAAATGAACTAGGTTCAAGAGTAGTCAGTTGTCCATCATCCAAGAGATAGGAGACAAGGCTCTTTGTACGCTAATATGCTGCTGCATTTCTTTGTTACCTTGGTAATGCACTTTAATGTAGTTCTTATTTGTTTCAAAAATACTTGACTCGGAACATAGCCTTCCAGAGAATCTTTTACCTACTGAAGGGAGGGTTGCTTAAACATAAAGCAAGTTCCTTGAGGTCTGAAGGATTCTTGAGTTTGCATGGACCATAATCTAATTATTTTGCATTGTGGATATTAATATTTTTAGAAATGTAATATGAATTTTTGTTTAAGTGGGTAGTGAGCGGAAATCGATTCTCTTGAAGAGTGACTCCCCCTTCATACTCTTCAGTGCAACACGCATGGTCTCTGAAAGTCACCCTAAAGTAAATACCACCTACAGCCCTGATCTGTCACTACTGTGAAACTAGTAACTTGGAAACAGTTGATAATATTTCTAGTTAATGTGCAACATAAGCACTGATAACATTGTGAATACTGGAACCTGCAAAGAAATGATTACCAGCCATTTGTTATATATAAACTCTCCAGAGACTTATTGATCTGACTTAATTGACCATTCAGTAGGAAGGATTGTGTTGTACTAGCAACTAACCTCTGATACTTGTGATTGCCCTTTTCTTCTGGTAGAATTTTTCCTTCTCTTGATTGTCTCTAACAGGCCAGCTGGCTATACAGAATTTGTTAGGGGCTTTCAGGTTTGAAACTGCCATTCCACAAACACAGTGCAGTCCCAGGTAGTCTCTCCACGTACTGGGCTCTGTATAATGAGGAGAGGCTCTGTCCTTCAACAAAGATCATCTGTAAAGATGGGTAACACATTTTTGGTATGAAGTAAAGCAAAGGGAAAAAGAAGACTTGTCTATACTACAACCGTTTGCCCAATATAGCTATATTGACGACCCCTCCTAGTCTGAACAAAGTTGTAGTGGCAAGAGTCCTTTTGTTGGTATCGCTTGCTTACCCCAGCTCTCCAAACAAAATGAAGCTATACTGCAAACGGACTTTTTTCTGCCAGCAGAACTGCACATACACTAGGAAGTTTTGCCAGTAGCGCTCTGTTGGCTATGGGTGTGATTTCCCTCTTCTTTCCTCTCTCCCCTCCCACCCCCGACATAGCTATGCCAGCAAAACTGAAATGTAACTTGGGAGTCTAAATATAGATTTGAGTGCCTAATTGTAAACAAGTGGTGCTAAAAATTGATGAAAGTTGTGGGTGCTCCGTGGGCCTGAGGATTTGTGGGTATTGCAGCTTTAGAATAGCTTAAGACAGAACTACTAGTGCCCTCAACCTCTTTAATGTATTGCAATAAATGTACAAATTCAGCAGCTGTAGAGTAACAGGATACTGGGTCTACAAAAGTACCACTTTGAAAAGATGTCAAAACACTGGCTCTACTTGCTTAGTATTGGACTGTCTGACTCGTGTGCTGTCTGTGAATAAGCAAAAGTACATTGTATCTGAATACTGAAAACAAGGTCCTCTTCAATCCTCTTTAATGCAGCCATGGAAATAAAGAAGTGTTCTCCTGCCGAGGTATCTTGCTGGCCGTTCACTGGTTTTGGGACAGAGGACACCTAGATATCACAGTCTTTGTGCCATCCTGGAGAAAAGAACAGTCAAGACCAGATGTGCCCATCACAGGTGTGGAACTCTAAAGCCAAAACTAAATCTCTAAAGCTTCCAATTGTAGCATTTTAATAAGCCTGCCAAGGTCCTTTTGGCCAGTAAGCTCCTAGGTAGTGAATGGAAAATAAGAGCACTAGAAACTTCACCAAGCTTCTGACCAGTGAGATTTCAAGTCCCTAACCTCTCCTCTAAGCAAGTTCTTGCTCAGATAAGGTAGCTGAGTTCAAAGAACATAACTAACTTTATTCCAAAATGCTTCCTTATTCCTGAGGTTTACTCACTTGGTGTGTTACCTTTTCTTATCTCCAGAATTCATTTTTTCCTCTTGTAAATGGCCATACCGCACGCCTGTATGAAATGTTAACCGAGAAGCAGCTTGGTAGAATATAGCAGGATGGGGATCTATTCAGATGGGTCCAGGTGGTGATGATTGCTGTTCTGAGTTTCCAAGCAACTGAGGTTTGAGGTGTCCCAGTCCAGTCCCTTAGCCAGAAGACAGTCTTGGTCTGTGTTAAATTTAGTTTGGTTCAGTGCCCATGAGAGGGATGCTGGGTGGGGAAATTGAAAAACTTCCTAAAAATTGGAAAGATTTTGACAGTAGCAGTCTGCGCAGGACACAGAGTAACTGAAATGTCAAAGCCTGACGCTGTGCCCCTTTGGAACTGGCTGGACTCTGCATGTTCCTAGCTAGTTATTTTTTTCCTGTAAACCTTACACTTTACTTTCTTGGCATCTGTTGCCTGGAAATGATACCAGGCTGTCTGGGCTTGTGTGTGTTTATGCCACATTTTCATGGTTGTTTGTTCCAGACCAGCACATTCTCCGTGACCTTGAAAAGAAGAAAATTCTGGTCTTCACTCCTTCCAGGCGGGTTGGAGGCAAACGCGTTGTCTGTTATGATGACCGCTTCATTGTGAAACTGGCATACGAGTCTGATGGCATCGTGGTTTCCAACGACACTTACCGTGACCTGCAGAATGAGCGTCCGGAATGGAAGAAGTTCATTGAGGAGCGCTTGCTGATGTATTCCTTTGTTAACGACAAGTACGTTCCCGTTCCCCAGGCGCTTAAAAACAATATAGCAGTTTTAAGTGACCATTGATAAATAGAAGGTCAGTGGCATCTCCGTGTTAGGAGGAGATGACCTGTAAGGGCTGGAAAGGTGAGTGTCAGACACAGAGTAAAGCAAATGACTTAAGGTATTTGAGAGGAAGTGACTCAGTGCTTCGTAGGTGGAACAGCTCCTCCCAATCTGCAGCAAGTCACAGGGAGGGCACAAAGAAAAGGCCAAGAGTGGCTCTGACTGCACTTGGCTTGCTTGGAGCCAGGAGCTCCTCCCTGCTGACATTCCTGAGCGGGCCTGGCACTGGTACAGAGCATTCACTTCCTCTGCATTACGAACGGGGAAACGATCAGCTGGCCCAGCGTGCCGACAGCAGAGCACAGGATTGGCATGACCAGCAATGCGTGGGAGGCAGCCTGCTCTGCTCCTGGGGCAAGAGGCCTCTTGCAACAATCTCAATCAAATCCTTCTCTAGTTTACTTGCAAAGTACTGATGGGCAGCAGCCCTTCTCTGTATGGCCAATGAACAGGTCAGCCTGCCATGGGTCACTAAGAGAGGATTAAAAGGAAAACTTTTCTTCCAAGGGACGACCCCCTGTTGGGTCTGGAGGAATTGTCTGAATCACTGACTCCTGTGGCCATGCCAGGGCTTGTGTCTTGGCTGGCACGGGGAGGGGTTCGCAGGTGTGGGTAATTTTTAATCCTCATGCAGCTGAGAGACTGAAACCTTGGCCCAGGAAAGTGGTTGCTCCTGACTGATGCTTATTATCTTCCTTTAGGTTTATGCCTCCAGATGACCCCTTAGGGCGGCATGGCCCCAGCCTGGAGAACTTCCTGAGAAAGAAACCTTTGGTGCCAGAACACAAGAAACAGCAGTGCCCTTACGGTAAGACTAGCCTTCTAGGCTTGAGGGCAGCGGTGTCTGTACAGAGTAAACTGTACACACTTGGTGAATTGCAGCAGGTCACCCTATGTTCTGCCTTTTCCTTGCAGGGAAGAAATGCACTTACGGGATTAAGTGTAAATTCTATCACCCTGAAAGGATCAACCAGCCACAGCGCTCTGTAGCTGATGAACTACGGGCCAATGCAAGGCTGTCCCCAACCAGAAGCCCCACCAGCACTGCCAAAGAGGAGAAAAAGAGCAGGAGACCTTCCCAGGCAGAGCTCCTCTGCTCTGTGTCCACAGACAGCGACAAAGGCTCTGGGCAGAAGGTCTCCATGGAGAGGAAAAGCTCAGCCCAAAAAGCAAAACCTAGCGACAGTCCCCTCCTAATCCAGGGGGGTTGTGCCTTGGGCAGTGTCCCCTCTAACAATGGCAGCTATCGATCGTCTGACTGGTACCAGCACCCTCCTCCTTCTCCCCATATGGACTCTCTCCCTTACATCTCTCAGGAGCATCTTGACTCAGGCATTGGATCCCTTGAGAACCAAATGTCTGAGATGTGGCCTTGCAGATCTACCAGTCACTGTGAGCATTCCCACCCTGAACAGATGGCAGTCTGTAGCTGCAGCAGACAGAGACCTGTCTACCAGCACTCTCCTAGTGTAGAGCAGGACACCCTTGGCCACTATAAGCACGGCTCTCGCAAATCAGTCTCCTCTGTTACTAGCTACTTGCCATATAGTGCTGAGAACTCTCACACGAGGTCCTCTCAGTCTTTCCCAGGCTATGGAGTGCCGGTACATCCAGCGGGTACTGGGCATTATAGCATTCCCAATGAGTATAACACCCCAGCACATCATCTTCGTGAATACTGGTCTGAGCCGTACCAAATGCCTCCCACATCAACACGACCTAGCAACATTAGAGACCCTCACCCGTTGCCGAGAGCCCCAGGGCCAGCGTACAGTGACCACTGCCAGTGGGCCCTGCCAGACCGCTTTGCAGAAGAGCGAGCGAATGTGCACGTGAAACTCTGTGGCATATTCCACCCCCATTTAGTAGATGCTGTGATGAGCCGTTTCCCTCAGCTGTTGGATCCCCAAAGACTAGCTGCTGAAATACTGACGTACAAGTCTCAGAACCCAGGGATGTGAGGCAGACGATGTGCTGGGAGTCCTGGGAGCAATGTCTCTCCTGTGGACCGCACAGCACAACTGGCATGGCTGCCTCCGTGAGGGTTTTCACCTTCCTCTGAAGCACCAGGTCCAAGATGAAGGCCAGATACCAGACTCAGTGGGCCAATGGCGTACTCTGGTGTGGCCAATCCTAATGCACCTCACAAAATGGCTTGTGAGGAAACTGTCCCATCCTCCCCCAGGGCATATTAGCAGGAATCTGTGGAAAGGAGGTGGATTTTGCCTTTCTCAGGAGCACAGAGCAGGGATTCCCCTGTAGGAGTAGGTGGGTCTGTCTTCCCCATTGAGCTCCTGCAATTGTCAGTTGGGCACTTTGGACCCTGGTTCTTCCCATTAGCCTGCAACATTCAAAGGCAGCGTAGCACACGGTCAAATGTACGGCATTTCATGAGAAAGATCTGATGGTTACACTTGAGTGAGCGGGGTCTGTGGGGTTACTCTGAGATGGTGTCTTTTGCAATAAGTGTCTGTGTAACTACATGTCGGGAAAGGCTGGAGCCTGTGCTCCTTGTCCAGTCTGCTCCCTAGTTCCTAACTGAGCTGCTTGCCTTGAACTCCCATCGGGTAACTTCATTTGGTCCTTGTGAGGAAGCGGCAGATTCCATTTCTGTATGTGAAAAGCCAGATTCCAGTAGCTGACTCGAGTCGATTTTTATGGCCTTTCCCTTCCCTACCCACCCCTAATAAGTTGGCCTTATGTGGGGCCACTCTTCTGTGAATAGGGCAGCTGTTTCGCCTGCTGCGGGGTTCCCACTAATCAGAAGAGTGAGGCGTTTCATCTTTTCTCCGCTTGCCTGGAAGGGCCTGGCACTGCACCAAACCTGCATTCTGGACTCGAGCCTTGTCTCCTGCACTTTCTCCACCAAAACTACATTCTGTACCAAAATTCAGAGAAGAGCAGGCTTGTGCCGCTCTTGTAAAACCCTGGTCTTCTCTTATGCCTCGCCGTGGAATCTGTATAGTGCTGAGAGGCCTGGAATGCCTGTGGTGTTACCTCCCCCTTTGTCATCACCCCACCATAGCTGTGGGGATCAGTAAAACAAAGTGACTAAGGTCCCACTTGGACTTGCACGTTGTGTGTCTGCCCTTTTGCCGCTACAATTTTGATGGGTCCTCCAAATTCTTGGCAATGTTCAGTATTTTCTCTTTGAATTTGCCACACCTTTGCCCTTTCACTCCTATATATTGTTCTCTCCCCACCCCCACAAGCACCCTTCAGATTCCCAAGATATCCAAAGCTGTGTCGTTTTGTTTGACGAATGGACCCTCTTCAGTCTGTTTCGGTTAAGGATATCTTTGGTGACTTGTAGATACTGTAACTAAAATTTTAAGATATACAAAAACAAATACGGTAGCAATTGATTCTGGTCCCAGCATTTTATTTAGGGTACAAAGGAACCTTTCACTTGCGGGCCAGAAGCAGTTGACTTGTTGATGCACATTGTATCTGTGTGGTGATGTTTTTTTAATTATGTCCATCTTGTGGTTAAATCAAGGTCCTTCTAAGTGGCAAACCGTGAGCGGGAGAACTGAGCACAGAGCTGGCTGAGCACGTCTCTGTGGTGTGCTGGAGGCTGTTCTGTTCGCTGGTTCTTACCGCTCAGATTTCCAGTGGATGGCCTAGCCAAATTGGCACCATGTGCCATGGAGACCACAAGGACACAGAAACCCTGTATACCTGGTTAATTATGATACATTACGAAACTGTAATGTTTCATGTTAGTAAGCAAAATGCTTCTTAATCTTATGTAACCTGATAACTTTGCATATTTGTAAATTACAGGAAAGATGGTTTTTAATGGTATTGTCCAGAAACTTGCTTGATGATACTATTTTACTTAGTACTGTACTTAACGCAGCCATTATATGTTAGTGGTGTTTTCTGGAAAAGTTAGTAGCAATATATACTTAGATACTTTTATACTTAAAGTTGACATTTATTGAAACTTGCTGTATCACTTAGATTCCACCCAGTCAGCTAGCCCTATGGAAGAGGCTGCCCTGTGTATGTCATGGCAAAGTAAGAACTTGCATTACCCAAATAAAAATGGCTAAGTTGGATGGCTAGGTTGTTGAGTCTCTTTTTGATGGCTTTTGGGAAGACTGTTTTACAGCTTGGCTGGGATTTTTAAGGCGTGTACCACAATATACTTCTAGAAAGGTGGTTGGGCTGTTAAGACACTGGACTGAGACTTGGGATCTCTGGATTCAATTCCCCGCTCTGACAGACTCCCTGGATGACCTTGAGGAAAATCACTTAATGTCTGTGCTTTGTCTGCGAAATGGGCATGAGACTTCCCTGCCTCAGACTGTGGCGCTAGGCATACGTACATGTTCGTGGTTGTGAGGCTGGGGACCATGGAAGTGTTGGGATACACCATGGTAACAGATGTGGTGTTGGTCCAGGGAAGTGACACTCTGCTGGCATGTGGGGTTTTTAACCAGGCTGTGTGGGGGGAAAAAGTCAGCTGTAGTGTTTGGCAGCTCTCATAAGTGACACAAGATGCTACACCGTGTTTTTATTATTATTTTGGTAGAACTCATGAGGCCTGCTTCTCCTCACCCCTCCTATCAATTGTTGGACAGAATTTAAAAACAAAAAACTGTTTTCTGTTCTGCTTGCTAATTAAAACAGAACAGTCAAAGCAAAGATACCGGCGTTGGCTCTCGGCAGCTTTGTGATCTACATAAAGAGATTAATGTAAACCGCTCATCAGAGAGCTGATATAATCTGTTACAGACAAGTACCAGTGCTTAATTTGTATTGAAAGTGGTGTCGTGTCTCAAGCAATTTTTTTTAACTTTCATAATTGAAGCAGCAAGCCCAGAGGTGCCAGGGCTATGAACTGCCAAGCCTAGAGGAGCCCGGGCTTAGCCCTGGCAAGCCCTAGCATACATTAAGCAGTGCCTAGCACCGTATCATTTATGCAAGCTGTTGAGTAAATGACTATAAATCATGACACCACTCTGTTCGCAAGACTCTCTTGGCACCTTTGGGCTCTCATGGACCTTTGTTTAGGAGCTTATGAGGAAGTCTAGTAAAAATTTAACATCCAAATTTCTCCAGGGGAATCCTTCCTCTCCCAACCCCACCCTCTAGACTTCAGTACAACATCTTCTTATCTGACTTTGTAAATTACTTTATGGGCTTTTAGTCAAATGTGCTCACTGGAGCTAGTACTGTCAGATCGCTCTTTCCAGCTAATATGAAATAAATCCCTTCCCTAAACTGAAGGAAAAGAGGGGCCTCCTCTGAAGGTGGTAGGTGTATGTGGTCTAATGGGAATCTGAGAGCGGCAGCAGGCTAAGGGTAGGACTGGGACGCGGAAGGCCTGGGTTCTGTTCCTGGCTTTGTCTCTGAGCTGCTGCGTGACCTTGAGCAAGTCACTTCCATCTGCCAGGCAGGAGAGCGGCTCAGCAGTGGCAGGCAGTGCACCTAGGAGAAGGAAAACTCTGATTTCAAACCGAAAACATTCGCCCTGGTCAGCCGGGTTGGAAAAACTGCACCAATCTCACGTGCTCTGTGTCTCAGCCGCTGACCCCAATGAACAGGCCAAGGTGAAGGTGAAGCTTTCTAGTAAGAATCTGCAATTTTCATCTGAGCCCTACGGGGTGAAAGGGCTTTTATTGGTTGAGTAAGGGAAGCCCTTTCCAGGGCACATTTCTTCTGGAGAGTAAATCCTCCAGCTCCCAATGGGTTCAGTGAGTCTATCCCCATGACTTGTAAAGGTGAGGCGGAGCAGTCCAAAAGCTGTGCAAGTGCATTTGAGAGCAGGGACTGAATGAAATGTCCCTCTACCTTGTTGCACGATGGTCTCAGGCTGAGAAAAAGAATCTCGAGTGGTAATGCTGAAATTCGCACGCAGCCGATGCTTGAACGTTGTGCCAGAACTGCTCGCACAAGAGAACTTTTAAAAAGCTTAGTGTAGGAACTCAAGGCTGCACCTCTCCATGAAATGCTCCTTTAAATAGATAAAAGCTCTCGCTCTCTGGATTCCAGTACACGAATGGGAATGGCCTAATCAAAACCAGAGCCATGTTACAAACCTGGTGGTAGACAAATCCAGAGTCAATTAGTGCTGAAGTTCCCAGGTTCGTTACCGTGACAGGGAAGGGAGCTGGGGGCGTTCTGTTCAGATGGTGATGGAGCTTGGTCTTGCCTCTGTTTCTGCAGCAGATTTTGTAACCGTACCTGTCTTCAAAGGGAAAGACTTTAGGCGGGTCTGAACTATAGAACCCTCCCTCCTAAACAGCTTTCAACAGCCCAAAGGCGGCAGGGGAGAATGGGGCAGTGATTTGCCTAGTGTCCCACAGTGCCTGAGCTGGGCATGGCATGCTAATCTGATTCCCTGGCCCCGGGAGCAGGCTACCAGTCGAGCAGCGTTCGGCGCTCCTTAGACATGGCATGGCTGCTGTTCTCCAGCATCTCTCTGGAGCCTCTCAAGACACACCCTGGTAGCTGTCGCTCAGCCGGGGCCTGCTGATGAAATGATGCCCAGCTGTTTCCTGTTGGATTCAGTTGTCATTCCTCCAGATGTTTAGAAGGAATTGGCAGCATTTATTTGAATGCTACCGGTATTAGTTCGTTATCGGCAGACACACTCATGTCCATCAAATCAAAGAAACCTGCCCTACTTTCTCTTCGTCCTCTGCCCCACACCCCTCCACACTGGTTCTAGTGTATTCTGCTGTTGTGGAGTTTTCGAGAAACATCCTGTGGCTCACCACTTCCTCTTGGGTACCTCAGTGAAGCTGGAACCCAGTGTGAGATTGGTGATCACTGCATCTGCATCATATTTATCTCTCTAAATAGGTTATATCCTCTTTTGCAATGTGCAGATCTACTTTAAAACAGAGGTCACATGCACACGTGCCCTGCTGGCTCAGTCTGGGGCATGGCTCGGGAGGTAAGCGGATATGTTCAGCCCCTAAAGCCTATGGTTGAGCGCCAGTCCCAGCCATTACTCTAGTGCAAGGGGAAATGTGGGGAACTCCTGCCTTGCTGCGGGGAAGCAGGGGCCATGGGGTAAGCAACCCATGCCAGGGAAGTCTTGTAATGTTGCAGGGCAAGTCTGGGTATGGTGCATGGGGCAGTAGCCTCCGGCAGAGCACGATGAAGTGGAAGAGCAGGGGGCACTCCTGTAACACCTCAGGGAGCAGGGGCCAGAGACAGCTGATCAAGCAGCTCTGAGCCCTGCAGAACAAGTCTGACCTGACCTTCATTATCTGTTCCAAACAACTGTTCTTAGGATTTCTGTGTGTCCTGCTTGAGTGTCTCCTGAGCCATACAGACCCCTCCAATCACTAAGATGGCTGGGCTCAGTTCTGCACGTTCCTATCTTGGAAAAGGTATGGCAGAAAGGGAGGGGGCTAGAGATGGCTGATAAAAATTAAAGATCTGGGCAAACTCTCATATCTAGTGAGACTAAAAGCACTGAGACTGTTCATCATCGATGAGAGCCATGAGAAATGTACACAGCATAATGGAGGGTCATTCCCCATAATCTAACATACAGGGGCAAGGGAACATTCGATTAAGTGGAAGACGGTTACTTTAAAATGGATAAAGGCAATACTTGGTCACATGGTGCACAGTTAAGCTGCGGAACTTACTGTCACAAGGGATCACTGAGGCCAAGAGCGCAGCAAGATTCAAGAAAGGAGTGGAGTTCTTTATGGATAACAAGAACCAGTAGAGTTTAAAAAATAAGAGCGCTGGAAGCCTTCCTGGTTTAGGGCAGCAGCCAATTTCTGTGTGGGTTAGGAAGGAAGCTGCTTGTGGGTAAGTGCAATGCTTTCTGCAGGGTTTCTTCCACCTTCCTTGGAGACTGGCTAGTAGCCCCCTGTCTGCTCCAGTCTGGCAATCGCTGTGTGTTCTGAGCTGCGGGGCTCCTGATGATGATGATACCTAGCTCAGATACTATAAATCCCAAAGCGCTTCACCAACGGAGGTAAGTGCCTTTATCCCCATTTCCCAGCTGCAGAGACTGAGGCACTGCACTGGTCCTACCCCTGGTGCCCCGCAGCACTGACTGCTCCTTCGGGGCCTGCCTGCCTTCCCTCTGCAGAGATGCAAAGATTCCAAGACCCGAAGGATCACTGAGGTCATCCAGTCTGACCCCCGGCATAGCCCAGCTGGAGAATGACCCCTCCCTCCCCCCCAGTAATTCTTATCTGTTAGAAAAATGGCCAGTGATGGAGACTCAACCATGACCCTTGGTAAATTGTTCCAGTGGTTAATTACTCTCATGGTTACAAAGTTATGCCTTATTTCCAAAACTGGACCCAGGATTCCAGCAGCAGGGCTGGATTAACGCAGGGGATTTAGGGGTTGCAGCCGAGGGCCTCAGGCTAAGGAGACCCCTGCAAAAATAAATCCATAATTCTATACAATTCAGTGGTCACCAACCCATCGATTGCAATCAACTGGTCGATCCCGGAGCCTCTGCTCTGCCAATGGGAGCTGTGAGGGTGGCGCTCCTGGGCACGGGCAGCACCTGGAGACACACTGTCCTCCTCCCCGAAGGGGCGCGCAGAGATGTGCCAGCAGCCGGCCACTTCCAGGAGGGGCGTGGGGCTATGGTAGCAGGCAACCTGCCTGAGCCCTGCTGTGCCGCCAGCCAGGAGCCACCTGTGGTAAGCGCCTCCTGGCCAGGGCCTGCACCTCGCACCCCCTTCTGCACCCCGACCCCCTGCCCCAGATCCAAACTCCCTCCAGACCCTGCACCCCCTCCTGCACCCCTGCCCCAGATCAGAATTCCCTCCTGCACCAAACTCCCTCCCAGATCCTGCAGCCCTCATCCTCTCCTGCACCCCACCACTCTGCCCCAGCCTCTGCCCCACCCAAACTCCCTCCCAGATCCTGTACCCCCTCCTGCAGCCCTCATCCTCTCCTGCACCCCAACACTCTGCCCCACCCAATCTCCCTCCCAGAAAGAAACTAATATAACAGCTGTTCTAAGGGAAGAAGCAGGCTATTTTGAATTAACTATATTCTACATATTTTAAGACTGAAATGTAACCACAGAACGGCTTTGTTAATTAGA